AATAGATTAACCTTAAAGCATATCATGGTTTACATGCTAGGATACAAAAAGAAGTTCTCATCAAGTCAAACTAACCTTATGTGTGCATATAATACTTAACCTTGTATTTCTAAACTAAAGTCTTACTTTACCTTATCCAGGAAGGGAAGCCCCCGTTCCTCTTCAGGGCACCTCTGTCCTTGTAGTGTAGTAAGGTTGATGGCCAGTTCTGTTTTCCCCAAGTTAGCTGGAGATTCTCTCATAGAGTGTAGCGATGGTAAACAGCTGGTGTCATCACCTGAAAGAGTATGAGAATACGTAGAAAGACAGACAGAAAGCAAGCAGCAACACATTGACCCACCCCCCTGCTGACTACCCATCACCCACCTCTCATATGACACAATGCATCGATCAAGCCAGTGTGTGGTGTATGTGTGCGTGTGTTAAGATGAAAACATTTTAGGTAACCACTTGCAAAATCTAAAGCTTTGCAAATAATTTTAGAAAGTATCTGTGCTTAACTAGAAACATATTTATGAAAATGTATGTTGTACCCTCGCAGCTTGCCCTAATAAGTTAAAGCAGATTGTCGATTCTGCAAATTAGTTTTCATCAGCAGTGATTCTGTGTCTAATAACAATTGCTACTAGCAATCAGTATTAGACACAAGGACCAGATGGAGTAGCTGATTACATGCGAGCTGAGTGACACAGCCCAGTTGCCGCTGCACTCCACTGGGTGCTTTAGTTGCAGTGAGAAGTGTAAAGGTTTTGAGACACACCAAACCTCTTACATAGTATTGGACATGGTTCCCTGCTCATCCTTGTGTAAAGAAAATCTTGAGAAAAGCACTTAGATAAAAGCCTCCCAGTGTTTATCATCCTATACACAATTCAGCACCCTAGTGCAGCAGCTCCTCTTGACCTTATTTCCCTTTGCCACACTGAAATCTGGCTCTTTGTTTGACTGCCATAGTACCTGGGCCGGGTGGGGTGGATTCTGACATAGTATTACAGGTGGGCAGATGCTTGGATTATTGTTGAGTTATTTTCTAGGTTGTGTGTTGTTTCTAGTCATTTGCCCCAGTTGTGATAACTAGCAGAACTGCATGTGAAAACCCTGATATAACATTATTTTGTCTGACTCCTTTGTGGCCTAAAGGGTATGAGAATCATTAAACAATGTCTACGCAATAAAACATAATGCCAGCTGTCTTAGTCAGGCTGAAAGAGTGGGTGTTTGCTTTTTTTGTCCTGTGGGGACTCCAACACGTTTATCAAACATCCAATTTATGTCAAAATGGTCTGTCACCTCTGGCACTCCCTCCTGAGGTGTGAAAAGGACAAGACGTTTCAGTAAAAACCTGAGAATTAGTCTTCGCTTAAGGGGTTTTTAGAGCTAAGCAGTGATTCCTGCCATTGTTAGTGCATACAACAGTTCGTTCTTAACCATGGTTCCACTACATTTGTACACATTTTACTAATTTCCTTTTCCATAGCACACCTGTTAACCTAGGGCCAATGTCACTACAACATACAGTACAAGCTGCAATTTGAAAAATTACCTTCCTTTTGTGTTGGCTATGATACTTATTATATCACAATTTAAAACAAATACCATACTCTAAGATTTGTGATCTGTGTGTAAGCAGTGCTCACACATCCTTTTTTGTAAAATGTGTCTGATCAGTGTCAGGCCTTCACCAGTTTGTGTGACCCTTATTCACCTCAACTGGCCTTTTTGGAGGTAGTAGACTCTGTGCACAGACACGGGAGAGATGTGACAAATGGTCAAATAAATGACTAGCCACTTTCACAATGTGCTCTTCATTTGTTCATCTTTAAAATCCTTAATAGGTTTTTTTCCTTTTACACAAGTGTCTCAGCATCAGCAAAAGTGAGGCAGAGGATAGTTGGAGGTAGACTCTGAATTCAGGACCATCATTAGGAGAAAAGCATTATCTAATAGCAAAGGGGATCAACTGCTCATTTATGTCAAAGGCCCTAGTACAAGCATCTATATGGATTATAAATGACGATATCAATGAGAGATGATCAATCAAGCTAACCTCAGTGACACAGTGAACTGTGCTAGCTTCACAGGGACCATGAATCAGCTATTGGTTCTTTATTTAATGGTATTTGTGCTGAAATTCAAGATAATACAATACCTTGATACCATAAGCTGCTACATGAGTCAGCTTGTGTGAAGTGTGTTAAGTGTCACTGACAGTAATTTATGAGTACACAACTGATCATATACAGTATGATGTTACATTAGGTAACTTCATAGACACGCAAGCTTAAGACTAAGTTATAACACTTTTTTCAACTAATAAACACCACTGAGAAAATATCAATTGGTTTTCAGTATGAGTTCTCATTTTAGAAATCCACTGTAAATTAGACCAAGGTGAAGAATGGCTTTCTTAAATAAACTGTATGATACTCTAAAGTATGTATGTAATCTCATGTTAAATTTCATCTTAAATCAAGCACTTTCCTCTGACGTTTACTTGTAAACACCAGAGGGCGACATCTTGATGAGTCATCCTCAAAGAAGAAACTCTCATACAGAGGAACCCTCTAGTAGCGCCCTAGAATATGGACCCCGTACATAATGTATTGATGTATTTTATTTATGTTAAACTGGTGCCTGATGTTAAAGCCAAATCAGATTTTTGCAACAAGACATTTTGAAAAAAATGTGTTCTGTTGTTGCAGATTTGGAGTACACCTTGATACTCAAAATTATATAAGTATGAACTACATTGGGGCCTATTCTCAAATAAAGTCTAAATAGACATAGCAAATATGCTCTGTTTTGTAGTGATGTCTTGTTATGAAACTGCTAAATTAAATTTGACGCACAGCGACTGAACGGTTTAGAAGAGCTCTTCTTCACTTTCCCCCATTATACTTAATGTTATTATGTATCACTGGATGCAGATTAGGGATGGGAAGATATTAATGGCCCTGCAATGGAAGATGATGCTTTCATATTGCATATAAAGCTTTGTTCTATTTTAAATATTTGAATAATAAATTTAGCAAGTGTGCCTCATAGCTCAGGACACCAAGTATGCATTCCAGTGCTGTTATAGCAGCACTCAGTTCCTTTGAGACCTTGAGCAAGAGCCCAAAGGTTATGGACCCATTTCAAATTAAGGACACAGTTATGTACACACATCTATTTGAAGCTGTATCCAACCACACTTGTATGGTCTAATTACAGCAGTAAATGAATGCCTGTATCATCCTCTCACCTCCCCGTGGTTTTCTGAGAGGATCACAGATATACTATCACTTGACTGATGATAGGAACCATTCATGTCAGGATGTGATGTACATACATCAGATTATATGGAGGTTTAGTACCACCTAGTGGATTCCAAAGCACAGCACTGCTTGCAGATTACGTAGGTGTAGGTGGTCTGAGGTGGGCCTCTCTAGTTGTAAATAGCGCTCTGACACGTGTGTGACCACTCTGGTGTCTGTGACCTCTCACTCCTGAAAGCTTAGCTTTACCACGTGGGGGTGGACTGTTTTTGATCTCGCAGCACTTCCAGCAGTCACAGAGCGCTCTTATTCATTTTTGTCTAAAGAACCTCAAGGTTCACTTTACCCTGTACAGACGTACATATGCATGTATGGATAGATGAGTGTGTGCAGGGTTCTTTTTAGAAAACAGCTCAATTAGAAATCTATGCAATGTAGAGGTCTTTGGCTATTGATCATTACTGAGCTTGTGTTTCTAAGTGATACTTTTTACCCATGCTTGTTACAGAGTGTTTATATCACACATACTACAACCAAAACACGCAAAGATTTAACAGCATGCTTCCTGTTGCTTTTGTATAGTAGCTGCTCAGATGCCTTATGTTTCTCCTCCATTGTTTGATCTATTTGATTGTTTAAGTCTGAGGATGCACAGTTTTTTTTACACAGTGCAAGTGAAGGCTTGTGAATAGGACTCACTGCAGTAAAACTGGCTTTACCTATTGCTTATTTTGGGCTTAAGCACATCTGGGGTGTGTTATGACTAAGCCACTTTCTTCCCATCAGATCATCTCACACACTCTCTCACTCTCTTTCTCCTGAATTGTGTGGAAGCATAACAAAAGTTGTCACTAATGCTACAAAATGTCTTGATGTCCTATACAAGAGGGAGATTTAGTGTGTAGCTATCCTGAATGAGACAGATGGTGACAGATACTGAATGATATAAAAACACAGCCCAGGTGTGGCATTCAGTGAGTGGTCCTCAGGTGTGTCTTTTCAAGATCTACATGATGGAGTATGATATCACAGTCCATACGCATCATTTGTTCCTCCTACATGGCGCCTCAGACCCCTGGCTCTATTCACTCTCACTGCCTTACCAACTAATGATCCCCAACACCCACCAGAGCAATCATATACACCTCTTTGATCAGTTTTATCCCTCACTTTAGCGGTGTTAAAAAAAGCTACAGCACCAACAATAGGGCAAAACGTGGCTCACTCCCACTGCCAGGCCTATTCACTTTTTCATTATCTATTCTCTTTTATTCTCTTGTCCACATGCAGTACAGAACAATACAGCACAGGAGGACAGGGTGGAGGCTCATGACAGGATTGGTAACATGATGACACACCAAAGGCCGGGCGAGTAAAATCCCCCTCCACAGTGGGACATGTGTCACAGTCCAGCCATGTCTCCAACCTTTTTTGTGGTCTCACGTCTCTCTTCTTCGGCTCTCTCCCCCTCCGGTCATAACGATAAAGCTCCCATCTGTTGTGGGGACCCAGGTCTTTCTGTTTCTGAACTGATCCCTCACATCAGTTTCCCCTTTGTCAGATATGCCGATCATGTTTCACTTTTGACACCTCTCTGTTTTACACTTGCGACAGGTAGCAAAGTTCTTCTGTTCTCAGATGAAATGTATTGGAAATGCGATAGTCATCTCTTTCCAAAGCATTGCCCTCTGCGCCCTTGTCCACCTGGTGAAAACAACTTTTTTTTATATAGAGCAGAAAAACAGCTGTAAAGCACTGCATGAGTGTGTTGATCCTCACCAAGAGCTAGATAATGACCCTCCAGCTGACCTATTACTTACCACAAAGGATGCAACACTGAATGACTCGATTTACATTCATTCTGTTACTTTTTAAAATCTGCTTTTTTGTAGCAACTACTGTAGTATTTGCAAGTATATTTATATGTAACTGTCAATCTAGTTATCACCTGTCTGGTTATCCATGCAGCCATATAGCTAAACATCCACACATTCATAAGGCTGTCGTTCATCCATAGTAT